TGACACTGCACCCGCTTTCTCTGGCCTGCATGTTTATTTACAGCTCAAGTTGGAAGTGGGTCTTCCCCCCTCTCCTGTGGAATTTTCCTCCCACCACCACTTTTACAAGCTTTCCCACTCCTTATTGCTGGGAGGTGCTGCTGATCCTGCCAACTGCTATGTTTGTTTATGGCTCACGTGGGAGGTGGGTCTTCCCCCCTCTCCTGTAGAGTTTTCCTCCTTCTGCCACTCTCACAAGATTTCCCACTCTTGGCTGCTGGACACGTGCCCCCGCTCCCACCAGAGCCTCTCAGCCAGGCCCAGCTTGTTTATTTACAGTTCTGGGAAGGATTCCCTTCCCCTCCTCTTTGACACTCAGTGTGCCCCACATTCTTTCCCATGTGTCTTTATTGTTCTTATTGCTTATTACTCAGTTTCTCTTTTTTTCCCCGGGTGCAGGTTGGTCTGTCCAGGGGGCTATGCTGCTGTGGCCCAGGGTTGTCTATGGGAGTACCGTGGTACCACTAAGCTCACCTTGTCTGCGTCTTCCTAAGCCGTTGGGCACAAGCGACTGGTGGCCCAGGGGCTCACCTGGTTTCTCTGTTTAACATGAAGTGGAGATTCTCTGTGCCAGCTGGAGGTGTGGAGGGGTCAAAGTTTGCCTCTTCTCAGTGGTTTTGCCTGCAAGGTGTTCCTCCAGTGTCTCTCCAAGATTTCACTATAGGAGGCATGCTTTCTGCTTCCTCCCTCTAGCTGCCATCTTGGAATTCCTCTCTCCTTTTCTTTAACTTTTCTTTTAGCAGACATTATTTGGTGTCCTTATCTTTTTTTTCTGCCTGTTTGGCTTTCTCTGTGATATTTTGCACTGCTTTCTTTTACAATTATTTTAATACCTTCATAACATGTGCTTTGTCAGTCTTCTATATCTTTCTTCTTCACTTTTCTTTCCTCCTTTCCCCTATTCCATATAAGCACCTTTAAAATATTTTCAACTCCTGTATCTATTCTATAATTACTCTAATTCTTTCATTTTATTATTATTTTTTAAATTATCATACTGTGGTTGCCCTGGAGGTATATGTCACATTTGCAAATTATTTATAAGATATTATAGTTAATTCACTCTTCCATCATTCTCCTTTATTCTTCCTTTCCTCTTTCTGGAAAAATTTCATCATGTCTAATTTTCTATTTTTAGACATGAGTGCATATTATTTACACTGCATTCACCCCCTACACCCTTTCCATTTATCCTTCCCCTTCTCATTGGTACCAACCAATTCTCCATTTTCAAAAATAAAGATATTATTGTTTGTTTCAGATAGTATGTTTCACAGGGTGTTTCATTGTGGCATTTCCATGTGTGTATGTGGTATAACCTGAATTGGTCAGTCCCTATGTTTTACTCCTTTCTGCCCTAGTTCTTTTCTTTATAACCTTAATTGAAGGAGTGGTTAATATTTACAGTTGGTTTGTTTCTGAAATGATGATTTAATTAAAGTTCTCTCCTTTCACTACTCTGAGTGATAGTGAAAGAGATATCCACTTAACAAATTCACATATCACAGTGTAGAAACACAAGAAACATTGAAAGAGATATTGCATTAAAAATTAATTGGACAAACATGAAAATACTGAATGTCTTAACTCTAAAATGCTTTAAAAAAAGGAGTAATATGGACTATTAAATGGTAGTAATAATGTAACCATATGTACTGAGAATAACATCCATCACCAGTCTAAAATACCCTTTTTGTGATTGTGTAATTAAATTGACAAATCTATTTAAAATGACCAATTATGACCTCATCTTGTAGAACCCTAATATAAAATAAATTATACAAAATTATTATAAAATAATTGGAGTTGTGCAAGGCATTTATCAAATTTTTCAGCAGGGTATAGCAATCTAAAATTTTCTTTCAGTGAGCAGGCAACAGAAAGATTAATTTTCCATGGAAAATATACCTAGAAATTGCAGTTCAAAAATTTTGGAGAAATAATCTCGGTGTTCACCACTTTACAAAATATTATGTAGTATTTATAATTATAGTATTTATAATGAATTATCTAAGACATATTTCACAGAAAAAATCAAATTTCCTGGTATCTTTAATTATACAGAGAAAGCTTTCTTTGTAACTATGAAGGAACAATGAAATTTAACAGATGATATGTTTCATATATGCAAGATCCTTGTAATGGATGTGAGCAGAAAAACACAGACATAACTCATGATGAAACCATGCCTCAGGAGTCAGGGAATCAGCACCCTAAACTCATCACTTCTGTAGAGTTTGTCTTTAAGGATATGCACTTCTGGGATTAGAGTCATAGTGACAGTGTGGATCTAATGAGGACCTTTGGGTATTGTGCCTTCTGGGATGCAGAGACTCTAGGAGTTTGCCTGTGACCATGTTGCTCAAAAACCCTGCCACAGTCAGCAAACAACTTAGCCTTTTCCTAGGAATGATGCTTCTTGACCAGGGATCAATGACTCAGTCTCTTAGTACTTTAAGAAGGTACACCTTCCATCTTGTATAAGCAGGTAAGATGATAAATGTTATTCAATTTGAAACCACCAAGGTAAATAAAGTCCTTTAGGTAAGTCTTTGAAAATGAAGTGAGGTGTGATATCTAATTTATTAATTATTGATTCATCCTAATTTTATATGCTTCATTATATATCCACACCTAAAGAATACTAGTTTCATTAATTCTTCTATTCTTATTTTTCTACATACTCACCATTGTCAAATGTATTTTCATCACATAAACACTTTCCTGAAATTTATATTCATCATGCTCTCTGGATGCATGAAAGATATGTTCTCTTTCCACTTCTCTCAACTTCTCCAGTGCACTGATTCTTTCCAAGGACTGGATAATATGAAATGCAACATTTTATGACTGTAAAAAAATAACAGCCCAGTAGGAAATATCAGTATAAGTTTCTCCAAGGTTAAGCACTGTGCTGAATGCTTTCATGGTAATCATTTTTGTTTGTGAAATATCCCCAGTTTTTGTTCAACTTCATCAAAATATAATTGAATAAAATCTGCTTATATTCAAGATAAGTGATTCAATATAGTGTACTATCTGTGTATACCTATATATGTCTCTCTCTATCACAACATGATTATCACTACGAAGTTAATTGTCACATCCAATATGTGTCTCTAATGTACAAACCGAAGAACAAGGTTTCTCATATAGTTCATAGTTTTTCTGTTTCACAAAACATGTGCTGGAGTATGGATCACATTCCTCATGTGTACATCCAATAGTACTCCAAATTGTGAGTGCTTTCACAGCACTTTAGTTTCCCCTCTGAAGACAGAGACCAATGCTATATAGTGACATTCCTAGAGGGCCCCGATTGTACTTATTTCAGGCTGGCGTTTTCTAGAAAGTTTCTGTTTTCTGAATGACACCATATTGTTTTTATTTATATCTGTTTCCTTAGACATCCATGGATTTCATTCTTTTTCTCATGTAACTGATTTATTTTAAAAAATTAATTCCCTTAGGATAAGACTGAGATTCTCATGATTATTACTGCTGGATTCTTCTGAAATTAATTGATAAAGAAGAGGATTTGCTTTTTCATAGGGAAGTTTTATGAGTCCAAAGTATAAAAAGGATAACTTTTTAATTTTTTAACAGTTTGCTATATTTCTGAATTAGCATGCATTAATAATATGAGGGGGGTTCATTGTGGTAATGCCATATATACATGTAGTGTATTTTTAACAAGTGTATCCCCTTCATCAATTCCCATTTCTCTCTCCTTCCTCTTTCCCTTTTCAAACAGAATTTGGTTCATTTCATTATTCTGTCTTTGAATATACACATAGTATAGCTTGTACATACAGTATTTTCTAACACTTCCTCAGATTCAGCTGGATGTATTCCAGCACAAGTTTTGTCTAATTTTATCAGAAAATGTGGGCATACATTGAAGCCAAGGGAAAGGCCTTGTTCAATAAAAATTTAAAATTTTAAATGTAAATTATGAGAATTATGATTGCTTACTCTGTGGTATTTGGTACCAGTAACAAAAATTGACCAAGACAGCCAAGTCCACAATCAGACAATCTGAGAAATGACCCAGTCCTTTCCTAGCACTGACTATTTCTGTCACATCTATGTGGTAACTTTATATAACCTAATTGCTGTTGTGGGTAAATAGAGGTGACAAAACCTTAAGATGAGTATTAGAAAAGCCAAAGATGGAGTACCACTGTTTTATTTTATATTATTTATAGTTTTAATATTTTATTAGCATACATAAATTGTAAAAGGGTTTTTTTGTAACATTTCATATATGCTTACAAGGTAACTTGCTTAGGTTTATCCTTACCATTATTCTCCCTCATTCTCTTCCCTCCTACTTAAAATTATTTTGACAGGCTTCAATGTTCTGCCTTAAGACATGAATGTAAAGTACATTAACCATTTTCACCATCCTTACTATCACCATTCACTCTCCCTCTTCTTTTTTATTCTCCCCATTACAGGATTTGCTTTGTTTTCCTGTTCTTCTTTGGTTAAGTGTTTGGAACCACTGTTTTAGAAGACAGATTTCAAAACTTTGTTGTCATATTTTGTTTGTTTAAAGCATGGAATAATTCTCATTGAAAAGCATGTCTAATATCTTGTGTTATATCATAAGGCATAAAAATAAATGTTCAAAGGTTATTTTATTTCAACAAAAGAAGTGGAGGGAAGATGAGAAAAAAAGGAGGCTAGGGAAAAAGTAGGAGAGGAAACTATTTAAATTTTCAATTGGCATACCATACTTATGGTAAAGTTTTTGCATTGAAAGTATATTTTCTCAACATTCAGCATGTATTAAAAACATCTGAAGGGCTGATAAAAGTGAAGAGTGCTGTTCTTCATCTGCAGAGTTTAAGAAGTGCAAGATGGGAGTTGTGACAAAGAACTTATATTTCTAACATGTTCCCAAGTGATATTACACCTGCTGGTCCATATATTTTATTTCATTTCATATTTCCATTAGATTCACCAACAACATGGAAGCTAAAAACAAAACAGGTTTTTCACAATTCTTTCTACTGGGACTATCAGATGATCCAGCACAAGAATCATTCATATTCAGCCTCTTTCTATTTATATACATAGTCACCATCTTGGGAAACCTGCTCATTGTCATGGCTGTGAGCTCTGAAACACATCTCCACACTCCCATGTACTTCTTTCTCTCCAACTTGTCATTTGCTGACATCTGTTTAAGCACAACCACAATCCCAAAGATGCTGGTTAGCATCCAAGCACAGGATAAAAACATCACTTACACAGGTTGCCTTGCTCAGGTCTGCTTTGTCTGGGATTTTGCTTTCTTGGAAAACTTTCTTTTGGCAGTAATGGCTTATGATCGCTATGTGGCCATTTGTCACCCCCTGAACTACACAATTATCATGAATCCTCACCTCTGTGGTCTTCTAATGCTTTTGTCCCTTCTAACTAGTGCTGTGAGTACTATACTCGTCAATCTGATGGTGTTGCACTTGTCTTTTTGCAAAAACATGGAAATTCCCCACTTTTTCTGTGAACTTGCTCAGGTAATCAAACTCTCCTGTTCTGATACCCTCATCAATAATGTACTGACGTATGTTACAACATTCATATTTTGTATTATTCCTCTCTGTGGAATCATTTTCTCTTACACTAAAATTGTCTCTTCTGTTTTGAAAATATCTTCAGTGACTGGAAGGTTCAAAGCCTTTTCTACTTGTGGATCTCACTTGTTAGTAGTGTCCCTCTTCTATGGTTCAGGATTGGGTGTGTATATTAGCTCTGCAGTTGGTGACTCACCCAGAAAGACTGCTGTAGTTTCAGTGATGTATTCTGTGGTCCCTCAGATGATGAACCCATTTATCTACAGCCTGAGAAACAAGGACATGAAGGAAGCCTTCAAAAAATTCATCTCTAGGTTAGCTTCTCTTCTGTGATACTTTGCTTTAGGCTTGAATTTCTAGAGTAAGTCACCATGACAGGATTCCAGGAGAATCAGAATGCCTGACACTTCCATCAGCACATTCTTTTAAAATGTCCAGAAGACATAAAAATTAAGTGTATTTCATGCTGTGTTTGTTACCTGACTTGATTTTTCTGTCTATATATGTCATTTTTTATAAAAGTTTTCAACTATTTAAATACAACATATTTAGATAGTTATAGAATCAGAACCTGGGACAGACTTCAAGTTTTAGTGATTTCTAGTATAAATGCATATAAATATACAAATTCATTGATAAATACAAAGTAAACTTGTTTATGAAGTACTGAGTGATATTTCCATCATGTGTACAATGTGTAATGATAACATGATAAGTGGCACATCCACCACCTCAAATATTTACCATTTACTTTTCATTGGGAACACTTAAATTTTTTCTCATTTTGATGTATACAATTAATTATTGTCAACCGTATTAACTTACTGTGTTACAGAACACTAGAAGTTATTTTCTTTATCCTCCTGTATCCCTATTAACCGTCATCTCTGTTTATACATCTTCTTTGATAAATTTCTATTCAGGTCATTATCCCAAGGGAACTAAGCTTCTGTACTCAATATGATAATCAGAGGGGCTAGTCACTGGTAAACCATATTCTTCTGGAGCAACATTAGTGTTCAACATATTTAGCTTTAACTGCTTAAAATTAACATAATTTATCTCAGTTGTTCAAGATTATTGCAAGATATTTGGACTCCATCCTTTAGGGCAATTTTTATTCCAATTAAAAGGAAACATAACTAATATGCTGAAGCAATGAAAAGAGCTATCATTCAGTTAAAGTATCTCAAATTTAGGAAACATACCAGAATAGGGTGAATCACTTATATGTGGTTCAACAAGAGTCAACATGTGGTGGCAGCAAATGCAGGTGTTACACCCAGAGAAGACCTACAGTAAATGATAGAATTCTGAGTGACCTTCTTGGGTCAGTTGACAATACAATTTCTATTGGATCAACCAGAAAAGATCTCTGTCATGAGGCAAGTTATGTGCCTCAAAAATATGTTCATATTCTAATTCATTCATGAATATTAGCTTATAAGTAAAAAGAGTAAATGTTACTTTCTTAGGAAAATCATCTTTGAAGAGATGTAGCTTACTCTGGACTATCTGGTGTTTCCTAATGTAATTATGTATTTCCCTATAAGATTAACACACAAGAAAGATAGAGAGAAATGGAGTAGATGATGTAACCATGGAGACACAAATTTCATTGACGAACTCAGTATTTGTTTGCCAACATTGCAAAATTTTTGCCTCACAAATTTGCCGTACTCATGAGATATGAATCTTCTTACACTCCTACACATCTTTAAAATTCCTAAAATTGTTGTTTAAATTTTAGAAATGAATTATGTATTTTGGGTTTATTTCTTTTTAGTTGTACTTCTGAAATTCATTTTGTGTTTAGCAATAATTTATTTATCTTCAATGATTATTTTTGTATCATGCTTAACAGGTGAAATGTAGGTAGCTTCTGTAATGTTTAAAATTTTATTTGCTCATTATGCTATGTGAATAAAGCTGAGTGTCCTCTATTGTAATTTCTGACAGAAATGTGAAGTAATATATCATTTGGGGTGGAATCATTAGCCATCAAGGTGTAGTCTCCTCCTTTACTTCCAACGTAATTTCTTACGTGACTGAACATACTTATTTCTGATTAGTCAGTTTTGATCTTCATATAATTACAAAATTATTTGCAGTACCATGATAATCTTCAGGATGTATGCTTTGTTTAACTAATTTACATGTGTTTTATTAGGGCATAGAGAGATTTTTATGCATTAATGACCTTTCATTTTTCTTCTTTTCTGAAATACCTGTTTATGAAATGTCCACTGAGTCTTAACAATTTTTCTATTAATATTTGATGGTTCTTTATCTAAATAAACAACCCTTGTGAGTTATATGTGTTAGACATTTTACTCTGTTGTGATATCTGATTTGCAAATGATTTATTGTGTTTGTGGATGCAGACATTTGCTTCATTTTAATATGGTCTAATATTTCAGTTTTTCCATTCATGACTTGTATTTATAGGTCTTAAAATGATAAACCTACTTCTTTTGATGTGAAAGGTTTACAGTCATTTTCGATGTCCTATGTCATAGAATTTATGGCTAATTAAATTTAATCCTATATGTAAAATTACTAAGAACCTAGCTATTGTTTTTAAGTTTTCATATCACAAAATTAAAAAGAACATGGTGATTAGGTATAGCCAGCACTTTCTTGCAATTGTACACATATGAGAGGAAAATAAGAAGTTCATGATTAGGAAGAGGATGGTGTCCAGAAAAATCAAGAGAAGGCAACAGTAACCAGTAGACAAAAATCTAGGTGAAATCCAGAAATATTGAACTTTGGATTAATAAATGAAATAGCAAAGTGTAACATGCAGCACTGAATAAAATAGTAGGGAAAGAAGAGGGCCCTCACCAGTAGGGCTATAAGCAAAAGACAAGCACAAAATGCAAGCACCAAGAGAATTCAGTGACATGCACCGGTTAACCCATTACAAAAGTGAAATGCAAGATTGAGAATCTACATATAGAATTGTACTGAGACACAAGGGAAGCAGCCCGGTTTCTCTCCTTTCTCTCTCTCTGTTGCTATATTTAATATATATATATATATATATATATATATATTTATATATCTACTTGGTGGAAAGGGCCATTGTGAGCCCAGCTACAAAACAAAAAGCTAAACATCACCAAAACAGTAAACATGAACCTGTGAGTAAGTACTGCTATGGTGGTGGCAGAGCTGGAGGAGAATTCTGGTAAGTGAAAAGACCTAAGCTGTCTAGGCTAAGACAGAATTGTGAGGCTAAGGCTATCAGGATCAATAAACTTCCCAAAAGTTGATCAGCCTATGCAAACTGCATTGTTCTGCTCACTTTGCATCCCTTCAAAGGTACAAAGAGATGGGTAGACAGCAGACATGGCTCAGAAATTTATCTTGTGGCAAACCAACACAATCTGGGACATCCCATAGGGCTAGTCCTCACTCACCAACCAGAAACCTGTTGAGTGGAGTTTGTACATGTTCTACAGTAACAGGCCTACCTACAAATAAACGTTGTCCTGAATCCAAGCAAATAGCAAAGCCACATCATGGTTCAAACCCTCAAGAGACTCCACCACTGCTGCTTCATACATAGTAAGAGAGAAAAAAAATAATAAAAAGAGCGCCCTTCAACAAAGGAACTTGAAAAGACAGTTCTAAGAAAGGGTGACTAGAAATCCACCCTCTTTCCCTCAGCACAAAAGAAATATCGACTAGCATATACTTGGTTTTAGTTTTATATAGAAGCAGTTGTAGTTGAATGGTTGTAGTTGTTTTGTTCTTTTTCTTTTCTAACACTTTAGATCATTTTGCCTTTTGATTTCCCCATTTTACCCTGCTCTCTCTCACTACAATTCTAGTTTTTTGTGTGCCTCCACTTCATGTTCATTTTCTCTTTTCCTGTTTCACTTATTTTCTTTTAACTTGTTCCAGCACTTCTTTGTTAACTAAGTTATTAATACTTCTAGATCCAATAATTTTTTAAAAGCTTCTTTCTGAATCCTCTAAGTATTCTAGCTTCTTTCTTTTCTAATCTTCTTAGTGACTGCAGTTGATGGTTACAGTTATTTTAGGCCACATTTAAATATCTTATGTATTTTGAATTGTTGAGGCCATTAGTCCTGTAAGAAAGAGCTGAAATCCATAGTTTCACTCCATATAAATTGATTTAAAGCAAGGCTATTATAACAGAATATATTGGATTAACATGTAATTCATCATTATTGCTACTGTTATGAGTGAAGTAGGGACTAGTTGAAGGTGCTTCCAACTCCCCAGCACAGGAATGGACATCCATTCTACCTGTGTACCCTAAGAAGGTGTAGAAATGAATCACTTGATGATAAAAAGAAATCCCTGTATACACAGCACCATACCCCAACAGAAATAACTAATACCAGGTTTTTAAGAAAAGAAAGGATATGGTGGAAATACTATGTGCTCATGTAAATAGAAAATACCAGTTGAAATTATTCTAGCAATTAGGGAAGATGGGATAAAGTTGAATGATAGAGGGGTGAATTCAACTATGATATATTTTGAAAACTCTTATAAATGTCACAAATACCCCAAGTATAACAACAATAAAAATTTTAAAAAGAAAAGAAATAAAAATATTATTTTGTGCTCAGAATGGTTTTTTCCAAGAGGTTTAGTCCTCTAGTTATTTTCACCTTTATTTAAATTAAGCAAAAAGGCAGTATAGGTTTAATTAAATGTTGGGTTTTGTATTCATAGTAATAGCTAAAACCAGTTCATTTCCAAAATGAGTGTCAAATTGGTGAAGGAAGGAATGTTTCAGGACTGGCTGATTTAAAATAAAAGCACATATGCAGATATGAAGAAAATAGCACTTTTTTTTTACCTTGCTAGTAAATTGTGTATAAACAAGTCTGTTTACAAACAGATTTACCCTACACAACACTTTCACATTCTAAGTTCCATGCCTACTGTAACAGAATCAGGGATGGTACAAGTCATTGTTGTCTTTATCTACTTACATTTGCTATTTGTATCAGCAAATCTACAATATTGTGGTATATTATATATGATATTTTTAAAGACAGCTTCTCTGTATAGCTGTCTTTATCTCAACTAGCAAAAATGCTATGTCTTTCTTATTATTGCTTATTTCTACTCTTCAACAGGACTGGAGAAAAGGTTCTGCCTGGAAAGGAGGTAGGAATGGGGGTGGAGGGAGTAGATGGGTGAAATGATCCAAACACTGTATGCCCATATGAATAAATGAATAATAATAATAATAAAGACATCCTTTCTACCTATTTAGTTTCACTAGATACTAAACAATGAAATTTAGCATATTGATTGAAAAACACTAAGTTGCAAAACCACAT